GAACAGAAATCCGAAACGTCAGACGAATAAAGTTCTTGTCCCAACGATCGTGTCTCCTTTTTCACAACTGCTTTCTGCGGCTCGTCTCTTCGCTTCTATTGACTAATTACCCAGTCTAGAAGGCATTCTGGATGTGTTAGTGACTTGAACGTGCTTAACCCCGCGACTAATGGCAATACTGGCTTTTGTGACACAGGAATGATGCACGAACATATGCCCGAACTGCAGTGCCTGACCGATCTAAAGAAGTGTTGGCCGAAATTCCGAAATGCGTATTCGGTTAGGAAAGCCTACGTTGTGCGGATGTGGGCTTCTGAATGCCTTTCTTTTGGACCCTCTGTAGAAACCACACTCGGTAGAACATGACTACTTTATTTGCATGCATTTTTACATTCATTTTCGATTATCTTATAAGTTCAAATACATTTTATAGAAAGCATGCACAAAAAAAGTGATTTCTTTTACTCCTCCCTTAGAAAATCAATTAGTCCCATATCCTGGCCAGTCCGAAATGCTATAGGATTATCCCGCAGGATAATCCGTACTACAACCCCAGCTAAGTAATCTTTCCTAATCAAATATTCATTTCAGAATTTCGACCAACGCTTCATGAGATCGGTCGTGCACTGCAGTTCGGGCATATGTGCGTGAGTCATCCCTACGCACTTCAAGCAGTCTGGTCACAACGCGCGTGCGTGGGTGTGCACATTGTGAGGCACTAACGGACGCGCATCCCAGTACTTTTGCTTCGACCTTGACAGCTGCAGATCTTGCATATGATCATGCGTAAGGCGGTCTGATCGTGACAGGCGTGAGTGCGTTCCGTGGCCTAGGCACCAGGAGGCGAGCGGTTGCGCTGTCGCATTCGGCCAGACTGAGTCGTATGGGTGACTCACGATCTCCTGCGCGCGTCCGTTTGTGCGTCCAAGAATGCGTGCACCGACGCGGGCGCGTCGCGGCCAGACGCCTTGATGCTTTTTCATGTGCGCGAACCGCAGCTGCACAGATGGGGACAAAAATGCAGCGTTGCACGTCCGGTAGCGCCTCACACACTGCACACACCCACGCACGCGCGTCGTGGTCAGAGAGTTTGACGGAGAATCCTGTGCGCGAACTGCAGCTGTCCAGATCAAAACACAAATACAGGAAAGGGCGAAAGTAGGCCCCTCACACACTGCACGCACGTAGTATCTAGACCGTTTGCCGCGATCATATGCGAGAAATAAGAGCGGCTGCCTACAGACTCCAGCAAGGAAAAAAACGCACTGAAATTAAGAAAAGGCAGGGAATTCTACGCGGACTGCTAGGTCACAGAAGCCAGCAGTGCCCATGATGGAGGACTTGTGTACGCTCAGCTCACCAACTCAACTCAACTGTCTGTTGGGTCACTGCTGGCTATGGTACCACTGGTGGGTGGTTGAACACGTTCAGCACACCAAGTCGCACTGAATGCCTGCTAGACTATCTGTTGGGTCACTGCTGGCTGTGGTGCCACTGGTGGGTGGTTGAACACGTTCAGCTCACATACCCGCACTGAATGCCTGCTAGACTATCTGTTGGGTCACTGCTGGCTGTGGTGCCACTGGTGGGTGGTTGAACAGGTTCGGCTCACATACCCGCACTGAATGCCTGCTAGACTGTCTGTTGGATCACTGCTGGGTGTCTTACCACTGGTCGGTTGTTAATAGAAGGAAAATGTGGGAGTGTTATGCATATTGTACAAGTTGGTAACGGTCGGGAAAACGGACATGACGACCGCTGCGCGTAAGGGGAGGAGTCTGTGGGATAAGGGAAGACGCGGGGTTATTGGGCGTAAATGGAGTCTGGGAAATAGCAAGTGGCAATGTGCCAAGTTGAGGTTGTTCGGTTGGAGAAGTTGGAAGAGGCTCGGTATAAGCCGCCTTCAAGCGATCGATCGAGACCACGTCGGTGCGGCCTCCACAGTCAATTGTAAAATGCTTGTCCTTGCGCGATAGTACTCGGAATGGGCCGTCATAGGGCTGTTGTAGTGGCCGGCGAACGCTATCTATGCGGACAAATACAAAAGAACATGTTAGTAAGTTCGGGTCGACGTACGACTTACTTGTTGAAGGACGTGGAGGAGTGGCTCGAAGATGAGTCATGGCTTGGCGCAATCTTTGCACATAATCGCTGGGATCCAAGTCGCCTGAGCTTTGAGAGTACCCGGAAAAAATCCCCGGGAATCCGTAGGGTGGTACCGTAGACAAGTTCGGCAGCGGAACACTCCAAGTCAGGCTTGAGTGCGGTACGGATACCGAGCATGACCAAAGGCAGGTGCTCGCTCCAATGGGAAGGGTTGTCATGAGCTCGGAGCGAGACTTTGAGTTGCCGGTGGAAACGCTTGACTAAGCCGTTGGATGAGGGGTGGTATGCTGTCGTGCGTATGCGAGAACATACGAGGAGGTTGGTAAAGCTGTTAAAAAGTCTAGACTCGAATTGTTGACCTCGATCGGTGGTAATAGTTGAGGGGACGCCATAATGAGAAATCCAGTGTTCCAAAAAAGCATGAGCAACGGAATCTGCCGTTATGTTAGGTATGAGAGTTGCAATGGGCCAACGAGTAAATTGGTCAATCGCAGTAAGTAAGTAGTTGCCACCACAAGATGTTGGAATGGGACCTACCAGATCGATATTGACATGTGAAAAACGTGCGTCGGGTGCGAGAAAAGTGCCAATTTGGGCTTTGTTGTGCCGTCCGACTTTGGTCTTCTGACAGGCCAAACATGAGCGGGCCCACTGGCGGATGTCAGTGTTCATGCTTGGCCAAACAAACCGCTTGCTGACGAGGCGCTGGGTAGTGCGGATGCCAGGGTGAGCTAGATTGTGCAACGCGGCAAAAACATCTCGTCTCATCTCGCTTGGCACTACGGGTCGGGAGGCACAGCGCGATACGTCACAGAAGATTGTACCGGGGGTGGTGGAAAGAGGAATGGCTTCGAGTTGAAGACTAGTGTGTTGAAGGCTCTCAGTGAAAGTCGGCTGATTTTGCAGTTCTGCCATGCGCTCCAAATCGATGGAAGGGCGGGTGATGGCATTAATGCCAGGCCGAGAAAGACAGTCAGCAACTTGATTAGAATGCCTTTAAGAAATCGAATGTCGGTGGTATACTGAGAAATAAAATCGAGTTGGCGGGGCTCGCGGGGTAAATACTTGTCAGAAGAAGTAGAGAGGGCATAAGTAAGAGGCTTGTGGTCAGTATAAATACAAAAATATCGGCCCTCAATATAATTATGAAAATGCTTAATGGCTAAATAAATTGCAAGAAGTTCTCTACCAAAAGTGCTATAGCGAGTTTGTGGGGGTGTCAATTTGGCAGAGTAGAAAGCCAAGGGCTGGGTGCCAGTGGGCGTCTGTTGCTGAAGGGCAGCACCTATAGCAAAATTAGAGGCGTCGGCCATAATGGAAAGTTGGGCATTAGGTATAGGGTGAACAAGGACAGTTGTATCCGCAAGAGCCTTCCTCGCACGATTGAAAGCCTCTACAGCTGTGTCAGGAAAAGAAAACTCACGGTTGTTCCCGCGTAAAAGGTTAGTAAGTGGTGGCATTAATTGAGCACAATGAGGGATGAAACGTCGATAGAAATTGACAAGGCCTATAAAACGGCGCAGTTGTTGAAAAGAAGTGGGAGTAGGGAAATCGCAAATACCTGAAACTTTGGCATCTATGGGATGACAACCAGAAGGATCTACGCGATGTCCTAGGAAAAACAGCGACTGTGCACCAAAAACGCATTTAGAAACATTAATGAAAACGCCAAATTGGCTCAATCGTTCAAAAATGAGACGCAAATGTTGTAGGTGCTCGTGTTCACTGGAACTTGCTACCAGAACATCGTCGACGTAGACAAAAACGAAAGGTAGATCGCGGAGGGTTTCGTTGATGAAACGTTGAAAAGTTTGGGCGGAGTTGCGTAACCCAAAGGCATCCTGACAAACTCGAACAGACCGAACGGTGTTGTAATCGCCGTTTTGGGAATGTCTTCTGGAGCAACGGGTATCTGATGGAAAGCTTTGACTAAGTCAATGTTGGAAAATATGGCTGCTCCAGCTAGGCTAGATGAAAAGTGGAGGTGTTTAACCGTCGGTAATCCCCGCATGGGCGCCAGTCAACGAGAGACTTTTTGCACACCATATGTAGAGGTGCAGCCCATGGACTAGTGGAAGGCCTAACTATGCCTAGCTCCATCGTGTGGCTGAATTCAGCCTTGGCTATGGCTAACTTATCGGCGGCTAAACGACGGAAACGGCTAAACACGGGTGGTCCAGTAGTTGAAATATAATGTACAACAGAATGCTTGATAGTTTGGTTGAATTGTGAAGGTCGTGTGATAGATGGAAATTCCGAAAGTAAACGATGATAGGGAGAAGACGAAGGGATTGTTGAAATGCGTGGATTAGGTGATGAAAGGGTACGAGTGGAACAATTACAATGTAAAGAAGTCTTAGGATCAAATAATTTATGGGACTTAATGTCAACGAGGAGACCGAAAAAGGACATAAAATCAGCGCCGAGAATGGCAGTATGGACATCAGCGATAGTAAATAGCCAACGAAATGAACGTCTTAGACCCAAATCTAGTGTTTGGGATCGTTGACCAAAAGTTTTAATAGAAGTATTGTTAGCTGCTTGGAGGAAAAATGAAGAATTTGGTGACTTACGGTCAGTCAAGGTGGGTAGGATTAGACTGATCTCCGCACCAGTATCCACGAGAAAATTACGACAGGAAGTCCTGTCATAGATGTGGAGTAAGCGACTGGGAGAGGATGTGCCGACCACGTTCGTCGTCCTTACTGGTCGGCAGGAAAGTTTTCCGACGCGGGTGTTTTATACTTGCAAGGAGAGTGGCAGCGATGGCCGTTAGAACCATAATTGTGATGATACCAACAGAAACCATCAACTGTAGGTTTGTTTGGAGTGGGAGATCTCGGGCGGCGAGAAATTGCAGGACTACGAGGGTTATAGACACGAGTGGCCCGGAGCTAGGAAACTTCGAGAGTGAGGGCATCCAGGCGTTTGACGACATCCTCGATTGTGGGGGCAGTTGTGCTTCGACTAGCGACGTTAACCGTAACAGGAGGCTGGTAGTACTCGAGTATACGGTCAGCAGTCTCCGCGAGCATCTGAACAGTCGATGAAGGAATGTTAGGCGCAAGGATGGCTTGCACAGAGGGAGGCAACCGTTGGAGGAAAAGTTGCTTGAACATGGTGGCATCCAGCTTTTGTCCGTCTGCCAACTGCTCCAAACGCCTAAGAAGCTGCGTAGGCTTCCTGTCACCGAGGTCCTCCTCAGAAATTAAACGTTGGAGACGTTTTTGCGTTGAGAGGGAAATGCGGGAAATGAGAGCCTCCTTTAGGGCAGTATAAGGGGCTTCTGTGGGCGGGCAATCTATGATGTCGCGGAGGTCGGTGGCGATGTCCATTGGGAGTGCTGCCACAACATAGTGAAATTTCGTATTCTCTCGTGTGATCTGATGGAGGGCGAATCGTGACTCTACAGTGCGCAGCCACAACGCGATGTCACCGAGCCACACGGATGACAGGTCAAAGGTGTGAATGCCGGCTATCGGCTGGCTGGTAGAATCGTTGGACATAGTTAGCCGAGGTCGGTCAGGGGTCAGATAAACGGGGTAGATGACTGGCGCGTTGACAGTGAGATTGAAGGGTAGCGCTCGTATTGGATGAAAGGGTGAGACAGTGTGAATAGCAAATAAGGGCCAGATTAATAATCTGATCGATAAAAAGTAGAGTGAGGATTAATCCGAATGGAAATAGTTATGCACAGAAATTAAACAGAAGGAGCTATGAACGATACAGGGTCTCCAGTGTAAGAGACAAACCCACTAGTTGGGCACAGTGAGTAGGCTATCCAGGAAACGAAAATAGCAGTATCCCAACAGTTACAAACTAGTAAATAAGAACAAAGTCGCCAGCAGGTAAAAGTGCACGTGCGTGTTCTTTATCTTATTCAAAGTTGTGTCAAAGCGTATTGTAACTGATTAAAACAAAACGGACTTAAATGTCACTACAGGCACACCAAATCGCACTGAATGCCTGCTAGACTATCCGTTGTGTCAGTGCTGGCTATGGTACCACTGGTGGGTGGTTGAACACGTTTAGCACACCAAGTCGCACTGAATGCCTGCTAGACTATCTGTTGGGTCTCTGCTGGCTGTGGTAACACTGGTGGGTGGTTGAACACGTTCAGCTCACATACCCGCACTGAATGCCTGCTAGACTGTCTGTTGGATCACTGCTGGGTGTCGTACCAATGGTCGGTTGATTGAGGATGTTCATCTCACCAAATCGCCCTGAATGCTTGGTAGGCTGTGTGTTGGGCCACTGCTGGCTGTGGTACCACTGGTGGGTGGTTAAACACGTTCAGCATACCAAATCGCGCTGAATGCCTGCGAGACTGACTGTTGTGTCACTGCTGGCTGTGGTACCACTGGTGGGTGGTTGACCACGTTCAGCACACCAAGTCCCTCTGAATGCCTGAGACACTGTCTGTTACGTCACTCATGGCTGTAGTAAATCTGGTCGGGTGTTTGAACACGCTCATCTCGCCAAATCGCACTGAGTGCATGCTACACTTTCTGCTGGGTCACTGCTGGCTGTGGTACCACTGGTGGGTGATTGAAAACGATCAGCACACGAAGTCGCACTGAATGCATGCCTGACTGTCTGTTGGGTCACTGCTGGCTATGGTACCACTGGTGGGTGGTTGAACACGTTCAGCACACCAAGTCGCACTGAATGCCTGCTAGACTATCTGTTGGGTCACTGATGGCTGTGGTAGCACTGGTCGGGTTATTGAGCATGTTCAGCTCACCAACTGCTACTGAGTACTCGCTAGAATGTCTGTTAGGTCACTGCTGGCTGTGGTGTCACTGATGGTTGTTTGAACACGTTCAGCACACCGAGTCGCACTGAATGCCTTCTAGACTGTCTGCAGGCTCACTGCTGGCTGTGGTACCACTGTTCGGGTGTTTGAGTCTGTTCAGCATACAGGGTTGCACTGAATGCCTGCTAGACTGTCTGATTGGTCACCGCAGGCTGTGGTAACACTGGTGGGTGGTTGAACACGTTCAGTACACCAAGTCGCACTGAATGCCTGCTATACTGTCTGTTTGGTCACCGCAGGCTGTGGTAACACTGGTGGGTGGTTGAACACGTTCAGTACACCAAGTCGCACTGAATGCCTGCTAGACTGTCTGATGGGTCGCTGCTGTCTGTGGTACCACTGATGGTTGGTTGAACACGTTCAGCACACCAAATCCCACTGAATGCTTGATAGACTGTCTGTTGGTTCACGGCTGCTGTGTTTAAACTGGTGGGTGGTTGAGCATTTTCAGCATACCAAGTCGCATTTAATGCCTGCTGGACTGACTGTTGTGTCACTGATGGCTGTGGTAACACTGGTGGGTGGTTGAAAACGCTCACCTCACCATCTAGGTCAAAATGCTTGCTAGACTGTCTGCTGGGTCACTGCTGTCTGTGGTACCACTGATGGTTGGTTGAACACGTTCAGCACACCAAATCCCACTGAATGCTTGATAGACTGTCTGTTGGTTCACGGCTGCTGTGGTTAAACTGGTGGGTGGTTGAGCATTTTCATGATACCAAGTCGCACTTAATGCCTGCTGGACTGACTGTTGTGTCACTGATGGCTGTGGTACCACTGGTGGGTGGTTGAACACGTTTAGCACACCAAGCCGCACTGAGTGTCTGCTAGACTGTCTGTTGTGTCTCTGCTGTCTGTGGTACCACTGGTCGGGTGTTTGGGTATGTTCAGCATACCAAGTCGCCCTGAATGCTCGCTAGACTGTCTGATGGGTCACTGCTGGCCGTGGTACCTCTGGTGGGTGTTTGATCACGCTCAGCACACGAAGTCGTACTGAATGCCTACTAGACTATCTGTTGTGTCACCGCTGACTGCAATATAACTGGTCGGGTGTTTGAACACGCTCCTCTCACCAAGGCGCACTGAGTGCCTGCTAGACTGCCTGCTGGGGCACTGCTGGCTGTGGTACCACAGGTGGGTGGTTGAACACTTTCAGCACACCAACCAGTATTGAATGCTTGCTAGACTGCGTTTTGGGTCACTGCTGGCTTTAATACCACTGGCCTGGTTATTGAGCATATTCAGCTCACCACCCGTGAGCTGGCCTTGTCTGGCTACCAGATGTTTAGAAGGGATAGGGATGGGCGTCAGGGAGGAGGCGTACTCACGTATGTAAAAATGGGCTAAATGTATCAGACAAGACCGATAACTTTTCGTGCAGTTCCTATGCAATCTGGCTGTCTATTAATGTGCCGAGCTCGCCTAGCCTCGATGTTCTGACAGTTTATCGACCGCCGAGACGGGACAACATGACCGACGCTCGCCTGCTGGAGGTGCTCGAAAAGTTCGCTACGCGGCCGGATATCCTGATCATGGACGACTTTAACGCGCCCCATATTGACTGGAGCTCGACCCATGCAAATAGCTCAGGACAGACTTTCGATAGGAGTTTTCTGAACACGGCACTGAAGTTATTTCTCACTCAACACGTCATGTTACCAATAAGAGTACGCGAAGGCCAACAAGCCAACTGCCTTGATCTTGTCCTTACGAAGTCACAGGACAGCATTG